CACTGTGGCTAATGCCTATAATCGTAGCACTTTGGGAAGCTAAGGCAGGTGGATCATCCAAGCTCGGGAGTTCAAGACCAACCAGAGCAAGAGTGAGACCCCATCTCTACTAAAAATAGAAAAACTAGCTAGTCATTTGTGGTGGGTACCTATAGTCTGTGCTACTCGGGAGGCTGAGGCAAGAGCATGACTTGAGCCCATGAGTTTGAGGCTGCTGTGAGCTATGACAGGCAGAGCACTCTATGCTGGGTGATAGAGTGAGATGCTCACAAATAAAAAATTTTTTAAAAAGTATTCTAGTAGTCGGTAACTGTGGCAGTCTAGTATTTTAATAAAATTCTTATATGAAGAATTTTTATATAGATATATTACTGTTATACTGATCACTAACAATTTTAGGCCAAAACTAAGTTCTAAGAAAAGTTAAGTAATCCTACCACTCTGAGAGGCTGAGATGGATTCCAGACCAGCCTGAGCCAGAGCAATACTTCATCTCTAAAAATAGCCGGGTGTTGTGGTGGGTGCCTGTAGCCCCAGCTACCAGGGAGGCTGAGGCAAGAGAATCTCTTGAGCCCAAGAGTTTGAGGTTGCTGTGAGCTGTGATGCTACGGCACTCTACCAAGGTGACAGTGAGACTCTGTCTCAAAAAAAAAGTTAAGAACTTATGTGGTGTCCATTTTTGCTTATTTGGTAAGATTAATTTATTGTTTCAGTGTTCTACACAACTAGTTGAAGTTAATGCTACTTTTAAAAATTAAAATTTTTCTTTGTGAAAAAAATTTGACATATATGCATAAAGTTATACTATTGTGTTTTCAGGAAGCAGAGAAGAAACCAAGATGATGATGATGATGGGTTTTTTGGACCAGCCCTGCCTCCTGGATTTAAAAAGCAGGATGATTCTCCTCCAAGGTAATGATATGTAATATTTCTGGCCATTTTTTCCTGAATATTTCAACTAGTATCTGTTAATTCATTAAACAGATGTCTGAAATTGTTTTTTAACTTATGTATTTATAATAACATTTGAAATGGATCATGCATAGGGAAAAGTACTTTCATAGTTCATAAAAAATGTCCACATCTTTTATTTGATATTCATAAAAGCATTTTGTGGTAGGCTGGATAGAACATTGTGGCTCATGCCTGTAATCTTTGCACTCTGGTAGGCTGAGGCAGGTGGATTGCTTCAGGTCAGGAGATTGAAACCTGGCCTCAGCCAAACTGCAACAAAAAAAATTGCCAGGCATTGTGGAAGGTGCCTGTAGTCCCAGCTTCTTGGGAGGCTAAAGCAAGAGAATCTCCTAAGCCTAAGAGCTGAAGGTTGCTGTGAGCTGTGATGCTACAGCACTCTACCAAGGGCAACAAAGTGAGACTCTGTCTATAAAAAAAAAAAAAAAGTTTGCTAATCCCTGGGATGTAACATTCCTTTCAAGAAAACACATTACTTAGATGCCTAGTAATTTTCTTTAAGGATTATGTTCTGGCAGTAATAAAATATATGTGCAAAACAAACAGCTGCTATCACAGACTGAGTCAGAAACCTTTTATATAACTATAGCATGCCAGGGTTGTATTCCTTTACTATATTGTAAGATGCTATGTACCAGTAATTTTATCTCCTCAAATTCCCTGAGGCCAGAAAATTAAGCTATAATTGCATTTGTAGACCTGTTAAAAACTACTCAGGAAAAAACCTGTGCTGTACTTCCTAATAATAGCTAATTTGATCTTTCTAACAATGCTGAATGTTCCCATGTTTCACATGCAAAATTGTTCCCTTCAAAGAGGTTTCATGAACCAAGACAAGAGGTTATTAAATGGTCAGGATCAGAATCCGGACTTTCTGACTCTCAGTTACTGTTATTCTGCCAGGAGGTGTCTCTGTGGGGCTCTAATGGAATACAGTGTAATGTAACCTGGAAAATTCAACTTGGGCCGTTAGTGCCTTCTGGGTTGGTAACACTGATACTGTGATAGCTATAGAAAAAACGCTGCTGCAAAGGCAAGGAGGAAGAAACTTAAAAGTATGAAAGGGAATAGAAAATGTCTTTTTAATTTTTCTCTATCTAAAGTAACACTGTCTGTTTTCAAGACCCAGTATTGAGGCAGTTCTCTCTTTGGAATTGATGACAACTGCCTATAATGTATTAATAGGGCAATTCAAAAGAAAATGAACTTTGACATCCAGTAGGCCAGGGTTCAGACTCCAGCTTAACCACTTATTAGTTGTGTTAACTTTGGTATTATTTTATGTTGCTGTCCTAGAAAGTGGAGTAACTTATACCTACCATGGTGGTTTTAAGAAGACAAGAGAGTATGCTGGTTGAAATATGGTTAGAACAATACCTTTTTCTCATTCTGAGTCTCAATGAACTAGCTACATTCTTCTAGAAGTCCACATTGTGATTGAACGTGGTGAGGGCAATGTATAGATTTTTACGCTGCCATGGCACACACACCATAGATTGCTGACATTGTACACACATGCTTTATATTTCCTTAGGACAGTGGTTCTCAACCTTCCTAATGCCGTGACCCTTTGATACAGTTCCTGTGGGTCGTGACCCACAGGTTGAGAACCACTGCCTTAGGGGAACTTACTTTCTACTTTAGTAGTTCTGACTGTAATTATAATATCCCCAACATGTTTTTCAGTGGACAGTGAATATCAACACTGACGGGAAGCCAAGGCATAATATAGAAAAAAAAATTTCACAAGATTTAGTGTATCAAAAGGAATTTTTTACAAACATCTTAATTATTTAATATTCTTTTTAGGAACTGGGCATATGCTAATCTCACAAAGATTGAGAATCCTTGGCTTGGTATCTAATTATTGATGAATGAGTAAAAAGTTAAAATGCAAAAGTTAGGTTTTTTAAAGATACCTAGTAGAAAAATACTAAGTAATTCTGTAAAAATAATGTGTTAAATAAAAGTATTATCTTTAATATTTGTTGCTATCTGGCTCATCTTTGTGAACTTTTATTCTGAAGTGGGTTTTTAAAGTCAAAGAGAATGGTAAAATTACATTTTCTTTTTCAGGCCTCTAATAGGTCCTGCATTGCCTCCTGGTTTCATTAAATCCACACAGAAAAGTGACAAGGGCAGAGATGATCCAGGACAACAGGTATCACATTTCAAGTCTAAAGTCTGAAAAGTTTTCATTTAAACAATAAGATGCAGCAAACTCCAAACTTTATGTATGTAGTAACTACAATCATTTGACTCAAATGTAATATAAGACTCAGTTGCATTCAGATTGATTTAAGATTGTCACATAAGTAAGTGAAATCCAAAGCTGTTCATAAACCTGAGATCCTCTTAGAAAAATAATAAGGTTGGTAGGATATTATTTGTTTTTGCTTATTTTTGAGGGTGGCTTATAATTGTTAGAAAAATAGAATGTGGGCTTGGTGCCTATAGCTGAGCAGCTAGGGCACCAGCCACATACACTGGAGCTGGGGGGTTTGAATCCAGCCCAAGCCTGCCAAACAACCGTGACAACTACAACCAAAAAATAGTCAGGCATTGTGGTGGGTGCCTGTAGTCCCAGCTACTTGGGAGGTTGAGGCAAGAGAATTGCTGAAGCCCAAGAGTTTGGGGTTGCTGTGAGCTGGGATGCCATGGTACTCTATCCAAGGTGACATAGTGAAACTCTGTCTCAAAAAAAAAAAAGATGAAAAATGTGATGAAAGGTTTAAGAACTTAATTGTGATTTTACCTGGAGGAGACAAAACTCAGGAGACTTTTAATTAAATTTACTTTGAAATTAACTCTCTCCTACCCAGTACCTTGTACCTGTACAAATGCACTGGTACACAAGTGAATTTATGACAAGATCCAGTGATTTTGAAGTAAAGCATGGAGGCTATTTTTTTTTCCCTTCTTAACATAATAGTTGGTATTTGTAGGGTGCTTTATACTTTGTAACGTGTTTTCCTCATGGCCTTATGAAATAGATAGTGTCTGCATCTGACAGATGCAAAGACTAAAGAAGTTGGGTAACTTAGCCAAGATTACACAACTTTTACTTATCAAAGCCATGGTTCAGACCCAGTTCTTAAGACTTTTAAGTCACTTGTTCAATCTAGTATACTGAAGTACCTTCTAAATGAATTCATGTAATCATGAGACTCCACTAAGAATTCCACACTAACACTGAAAGGGGGTATTACACAGTGATTGAGATCATGAATTTCAGTGTCATTTACTCATTCTTTCAACAAATGTTTATCAAGCACCTGCAATGTGTCAGGCATATGGTCACAGAAATGAATTTGTCAATAAATTCTGTCATTCCTACCTTCAGAAGACTTTAGAATCCAAACACGTGGCTCCCACCCTGGTCAAAGTGACCAGGTATTTCACCAATCTTACTGGTCTTCATGCTTTATTTGGCCCTTGCTCCTCTACTATCCCCTCAACAGCTGCTAGAGGGTTCCAGATGAAATGAAGTCAGATTGTGTCACTACCACTCAAACCCATCAAATTGCTCCTCCTCTTTCCGGGTAAAAGCCAGAGTCCTTTCAGGGCCTTCTATAATCTAGCTCCCATTAGAACTCCGATTTTATCTTTTACTTTGATGTGACCACACTGGACGCCTTACTGTTCCTTTTCCAATGTTTCAGGCCAACTCCTACTCTGAGCATTTATCCTGCTGTCAAGTCTGTCGAAAATGTTCATCCCCTAGATGTCTGTGTGGCTGACCTCCTAAACCTTCAGTTTTTTGCTAGATAGTCACATTCCCAGTGTGGTCATCTCTGACCTCTGAATTCAAATTTGCTATTATCCCCTTTCCTCCTTTAATTTTTCCATAGAATTATATATAACTACTGAAAATACCAGTAATTTTACAGCTTTTTATTGTTTGACTCTCTCTACTAGAATCTCTACAGAGATTCTTATCTTATCACCAGTGCCTGATACATAGTAGATATCCATACATTTTTTTTTTAATAAATGAATTCAAGTCATGACACAGTCTGTGTTCTCATTGTAGTGGAGAACACATACATCAAGTAATTTCTAACATGAATGATTCAAGAGGTGAAAAAAGTACACATGGCACCATGACAGGGGAATCTAAACCAATCTGAAGAAATGAGAAAAAGTCTTCTTTTCTGAAAAAATAAAAGTCTGAACTAAAGATTGATGAGTTGGAGATAGCTCAGCAAAGTAGGCAGGAAACGTTGTTCCAGAGAGTACAAATAGCTTATTTAAGGGCAAAAGGGTGAATTTAAGGGCAGAGTGCTAGGATTACAGGGAGAAAGTTGTCAAGAAGTTCCCTGTCATTAGAATGGAGAGAGTAAATGAGGGAGGTTGGCAAGAGCCAAGGCTTTGGATTCTAGGTGAGTTTAGTTTCCTTGTTAGTAACATGCAGGTGGTTATACTTATTTCATAAAGTTATAAGCATCAAATCAGGATAGTAGGTATTCAACTTGTAATAACTCTTATAATACTACTGTTACCGTTATCCTTATTGCCTCATCTATAAATGCCGTAGGCTAAGTATAAAGAACCCTCTTTTTTATTTTTTTAGAAGTAGTCACTCTGTTGCCCAGGCTAGAGTGCTATGGCATCCCTAGCTCACAGCAACCTCAGACTCCTGGGCTCAAGTGATTCTCCTGCCTCAGCCTCCTGAATAGCTGGGACTGCAAGTGCCTGCCATGACGTCCAGCTAATATTTCTATTTTTTTAGTAGAGACAGGGGTCTTGTTCTTGCTCAGGCTGGTCTTGAGTGCAAGGGTTCCTACCACCTTGCCCTCCCAGAGTGCTAGGATTATAGGCATGAGGCACCACACCTGGCCTAGGAACCCTTTCTAAAAAGGGTGTTAAATCCAGGAGTAAATTTCCAGGGGAAGGCCTCCCAGCCACATGGAAGACTGAGCTGACAGGCCAGGCTCGGCTCTTCCTACCACAAACACGAAAGAGTACTAAGGAAAGGCTGGGCATGGTGGTTCACACCTATAATCCTAGCACTCTGGGAGGCCAAGGTGGGTGGATTGCCCTAAGCTCAGAGGTTCAAGACCAGCCTGAGCCAGAGTGAGACCCTATCTCTACAAAAAAAAGCCAGGTGTTGTGGCAGGAACCTGTAGTCCCAGCTATTTCGGAGGCTAAGGCAAGAGAATTGCTTAAGCCCAAGAATTAGAGATTGCTATGAGCTATTATGCCACAGCACCCTACCAAGGGCCACAAAGTGAGACTCTGTCTCAATAAAAATAAACAAATAAATAACAGGAAAAAAAAGAAAATAAAAAAACAAAACTTCAAACTAAGACAATTCAAAGTAAAATTCAAAAATAAAAAAAAGTACTGGGGAAAAAAACAGCAACCAAGTTATAGCTAAGCTCAAAAGAAAGAAAGGGGAAATCCACAGGTGTAATAACGTTGAAAGAATTCAAAGCCAAGCACAAGTTTATACAGCAGGTGACCACAGTAGTTATAGAGAAAACCCAGTCATAAACCCTAGAGGATTTGGGTCTAGCTTCTGGTTCTCTCAACCAAAGGAGATTGAATTGAGCCCCTGCATAAAACTCACACCTTCAAAGTTCTGCTCTATAAAAAAAGGACTAGCGGACCAGAAAAGTGTAACCCACTGTTCTTTGGAAAGTGGCAAAGAAGTTTGCTTCAGTGTGGAGTCTTGTCATACTACCTGTAAACAACTTTCAAATGTTTCAGAAAAAAAGTGTATCTGTCTATCTCATGGAGGGAGTGGGGATGTAGAAAACAAAAAGGCCGGGTGTGGGTGGCGCCTGTTGTTCAGTGGGTAGGGCACCGGCCCCATATACCAAGGGTGGCAGGTTCGAACTCAGCCCCAGCCAAACTGCAACAAAAAAATAGCCAGGCATTGTGGCAGGTGCCTGTAGTCCCAGCTACTCAGGAGGCTGAGGCAAGAGAATTGCCTAAGCCCGGGAGCTGGAGGTTGCTGTGAGCTGTGATGCCATGGCACTCTACCAAGGGCAATAAAGTGAGACTCTGTCTCAAAAAAAAAAAAAAAAAAGCTAAAAGTTATGGCTCACACCTATAATCCTGGCACCGTAGGAGGCTGAGGCAAGATTACTTGAGGCTAAAAGGTCGAGACTAGCTTGGGTAACTTAGCAAGACTCTGTCTTTATAAAAAAAATTTTTTTTTCTTTAATTAGTTGAATATAGTAGCACATGTCTATAGTCCCAGCTACTCAAGAGACTGAGACTGGGAGGTTTCTCGAGCCCAGGAATTTGAGGTTACAATGAGCCAGGATTGCACCATCACACTCTAGCCTATGTGCAGGCTGGGTGGCTCATCCCTGTAATTCTAGCACTCTGGGAAGCCAAAGCAGGAAGATGGCTTTAGGTCTTGAAGTCAGGAGTTCAAGACCAGCCTGAGCAAGAGCGAGACCCAGTCTCCATAAAAAATAGAAAAATTAGCCAGGCCTAATGTCATGTGCTTGTAGTCCCAGCTGCTAGGGAGATTTGAGCCTAGAAGTTTGAGATTGCAGCGAGCTATGATGATGCTACTGCTCTCTACCCAGGGTAACAGAGCAAAACTTTGCCTCCCAAAAGAAAAAACAAGAAAAGAAAAAAAATTAATCTGAGTGAGGATATATGGATGTTCCATATACTCATCTTAGCACTTTACTGTATGTTTAAATTTTTTCAAAGTAAAAGGCTAGGGAAAAATTTTCAAAAAAGTAGAATAATTTGGCTTTATTCACACTTGGAATTTTGTCTTAATCTAGTTAGTAGATGGGTAGCTTATATAAGTTCCTAGGTGGTATACATTCTGTGTTCTCTACCTTTTCTTAGCAAAAAGGTGACAGTAAGGGTTGGAACATGGATTATACCACAGTGTACCTGTTCAAGGTACTCTTGGCTCTGTTTGCTTTATAATTTTACTTTAACTTAATTTTTTTCAAAAGATATTTCTTTTTCAGTTTTTGGATTTTCATTTTCTCAAGAGGGACTTATCTTGGTATCTCATTTGCAGAATATATCCCCAAATTAAGATATGCACAATAACACTAATGGTTAGCAATTGTCAGGTGTTTACCACAAGCCACACACTGCAAAGCACAGCACCAGCATAAACTTAATCTAATCTGGATGACAATCCAGGGAAGCAGAGTATCGGCTGAAACTTTTCAAATAACAAAAAATCCAACTCGAAATGGAACTTTGTCTTATAGCAAATGGGTTGTTTATATAATTTCCTTGGTAGCGTATATTCTGTATTCTCCAAATAAGGAAAATGTATTTCACACATAACAAGAGGTCTAGAGGTAAGATTATTCTGGGGTTGGTTAATTCAACACCCTAATGATATCAAGGGCTCCAGTTTTCTCAGTCTTTCCACTCTACCATCCATAGTACGTTCATTCCTTTTAGGCTGACTGCCCTCATCATGCCAAGAAGCCTGCCAAAGTTCTAAGATTAACAAGCAGTTGGCAATGTTCAGACACAGAAGGGTATGGCTCCAAAAGGATGAACAAAATGCAGGGTTCTCTTGGCAAAAAAGTAGTAGTTATTGGTAGGAGCTGCTATAATCCCCATCTAAAAGACCAGAAAATCAAGACCTAGAAAGTTTAAATAAAATTCCTCATGTTACAGGGCTATTCTAGCGGCAAATGAGACCTTAAACTATGTGTAACTCTGTAGCTCAAACTGTAAGCCATATGGGTACATAAGTTCTGTTGCAATTCTGGATAAAATAATGTACATTTTTAAGAAAAGTCAAAGAAGTAATTCATCTAGAACACTAAATTGATTTTAACACCCAGATGGGATTTGGATTTATGGTTCCATTTCTGATTTTTGATTTAGTGTGTTTGGCCGAATTTTCTGTTTCTTTCTTTCTCCATCTCCCACCCCTACCCTGCTTAGTTTGTGTCTACTAACATCATAAGTGCCTCAGCCTTTCAAGACTTGCTGAAGTTATGCCTTCATAAAGCCATTTCTTACTAGATTAAAAGTAAAAATACCATTAGTGTATGCCATCATCTTAAACACTAATACTACATTGGTGCCATGTCTCCTACGGTTGTTTTTGTTTGTTTGTTGCAGTTTTTGGCCAGAGCTGGGTTTGAACCTGCCACCTCTGGAATATGGGGCCAGGGCACCTTACTCCTTTGAGCCACGAGTGCCGCCCCATCTCCTACAGTTTTAAATGTTCATTGAATCTTTTGTGTCCGTTCATTTGGTGTCACCGAGTATTTATGTCTGCCAAGAGTTATGCGTACACTTAAGATAATGTCTGTTATATCAGAGCACTTACTATGGTCGAAATAAGCTATAAACACTTAAAGTTAAATCACTAGTTGTTGAAATAAAGAAAATAATAGAAGGGCTGCTATCATATAAATAGAAAAAATACTATCCTTGATCTCAGAATATTTAATTCTTAGATACTGATTTTATAAAATCAGACAAGTTGTTTATCTCTTCTAAATATACTTCTCTAAGATAGATTTCCTTAAAAAAAAAAACCACCCACAGGAATAATGCCATTTCAAGGTTCTGTTACAAGAATCAAATGAAGTATTGAGTGCCAAAGTCCATAGTTGCTGTGTGTATGTGTGATTTAAACTAAGCCACAAGCAAATATATAATTGTCTAATATAATATAAATAATTGTCTAATTATTTATACAAATAGTATTGCTATAAAGGTTCAAAGAAGAAACCTCAGATACTATTGGGTGGTTAGAGGGGGGAAATAAAAGCAGTACAGATGAACTACTGATCCTGCTTGTTTGGAAAAACGAAAGAAGAAGCTGCCTGTCAGAGCAGGAGAACAAATATGTTATTGTTATTCATCTTAATAGATCTTCTCCACAGGACAGGGTCTGCCTTTAAACTCTAGCCCCTAAGGCACATAGCCTATATAGCACCTAACACAGAATCGTACGTGGAGGTGGTTTACCAAAATAATTTAATAAGAAGAAATTGAATTCAATTATTACAGTACTCTTTTGTCTTTGGAGGGAGGAAATTACTTTTGGAACTGAATTAGCTCATTTGAGTCAGTGTTTTGTGAGTTACTGCACAGCACTTCTATCTCAGTGGACTCTACCAAATCATAAAGGCTGATGTAGTTCCCAGGAATCCACTTCTTATGTACATCTTAATCTAAAGAGCTTTTCATGTACCAGGAATGAAAATAGTTTGAACTGTATCATCTCTCGCCAGTGGTAATAAATGCCTTGACTACTACATTGAGAAGAACTCTGAGGCCACATCTCTGTCCGTTAGGAAGATGGTGAAGTCCACCATGGACATAGGAGGAGAGGTGGGATGGCCACATGCCATAGACTTACCACCTCTGTGCTGGGCACTGGAGGAAGAAAATGTCCTCATTGTTCATTGATGAGCCAGTGCTCTGTTGTTTACATTTTTGTTTTCTTTTCTATGAATCATAAATCTCAGCTAAGTTCAAGTAATTTAGGATTATTTTCTATAACCTATAGTTCTGCTCTTGGTTTAAAGGTAATGTCTTATTTTAAAAGGACACAGATAGCAGTGAAGATGAGGACATCATTGGACCAATGCCGGCAAAAGGACCGGTTAACTATTGTGTAACAACAGAGTTTGAAAAAAGGGCCCAGAGAATGAAAGAAAAACTGACTAAAGGAAATGATGTAAGTTTTCAAGACACTTTAAGAAATAAACTAGATTATAAATCCAAATTTTAGAAACAAACATTAAAAAATGTGTATCTTCTATTATATGCTTTTCATATGTCACATATATAAAGAAAATTTAGAAGTGAGAAAACCCAGAAATTCTAAAGGAAAAGATTGGCAAATTTCTGTACTAAAATTATCCTATACATCAAAAGATAGCATAAAGTCAAAAGAATAACAAATTGGATGAAAATATTTGGAACATATATATTATATATATATGTTATAAAATACATATGTTTATATATTATAAAATATTTGGAACATATATATTATAGTCTTTAAGTAACTTTAAAACCTCAATTGAGAAACAATTACATTTGTTTTAAACTTATTTCTCTTCAAGGATTCATCTAAACCAATTATAAGAGAGTCGTGGATGACAGAGCTTCCTCCAGAAATGAAAGACTTTGGTCTTGGGCCAAGAACTTTTAAGAGAAGAGCCGATGACAAATCTGGAGATCGGTCAATCTGGACAGATACTCCAGCTGACAGGGAAAGGAAAGCTAAGGTGAGATGTTTTGTTTGTTTTTATATTTCTGTCCATGTTGGCTCAACTTGGAAAAGACATAAGGCAAAATTATTTATGGGTACTATTCTTAAAAATGTAGATTGAAAAGAAAAAATATAAATGTTCTCTAGAAGGCAGGTTATGAGGAAAGAAAGTGACACCAATTGCTTGCTGTTGCCTTACTATTTCCTAATAAACTTTCTCATCTAAACCTCAAGAAAACCCTGAGACAGAGGTTTATTGACCGTATCTTATCAGGAGGGGCACTAACCTCTATGTGGTCAACTTTTCTAGGGTCACAAAGCTAGTAAGTGATGAAAAAGGCCTTTGTAGCTCCTAATTCCTTTGTCATTTTACAATATTATGCTATCTTGGCTCGGCACGCACAGCACAGTCGTTATGGTGCCAGCCACATACCCCAAGGGTGGCAAGTTCAAACTCAGCCTGGGCCAACTAAACAATTGCAACAAAAAAAATAGCCGGATGTTGTGGCGGGCACCTGTAGTCCAGCTACTTGGGAGGCTGAGGCAGGAGAATCACTTGAGCCCAGGTGTTTGAGGTTGCTGTGAGCTATGACATCAGAGCACTCTACTGGAGGCAACAAAGTAAGATTCTGCCTTAAAAAAAAAAATCCAACTCAGCCCATTGGTTACAGCACCAGCCACATGTACAAAAGCTGGCAGATTTGAACCTAGCCCAGGCCAGCTAAACAACAATGACAACGGCAACAAAAAAATAGCCAGGCACTGTGACACACCTGTAGTCCCAGCTACTTCGGAGGCTGAGGCAACAGAATTGCTTAAGCCCAAGAGTTTGAGGTGCACTCTACCAAGGGCAACATAGTGAGACTCTGTCTCCAAAAAAAAAAAAAATCCATTTTAATTTTCTCTTCTTGAATCTTTATTTATTATGAAATATTTCCTTTTTTTTTTTTTTTTTTTTCAGTTTGTGGCCAGAGCTGGGCTTGAACCCACCACCTCCAACATATGGGGTCAGCACCCTGCTCCTTTGACCCACAGGCACCACCCTTTTTTTTGCTTTGTTTTTTTGTCTTTTAGAGACAGAGTCTTACTTTATTGCCCTCAGTAGAGTGCTATGGCATCATAGCTCACAGCAACCTCCAGCTGTTGGCTTAGGAAGTTCTTTTGCCTCAGCCTCTTGAGTAGCTGGGACTACAGGCACCCGCCAGAGCACCTGGCTATTTTTTTGTTACAGTTTGGGGCTGGGTTCAAACCTGTCACCCTTGGCATATGGGGCCAGCGCCCTACCCACTGAGCCATAGGTGCCATCCTTTTTTTCTTTTTTTTACAAGTTTTTTGGCCAGGGCTGGGTTTGACCCTGCCATCCTCGGCATATGGGGCCAGTACCCTACTCCTTGAGCCACAGGCACCACCCTATTATGAAATATTTCATTGCATGTTAGGAATTAAACCAGTAACTTAAGCACTACTCCTTAAATTTACTTCATATAAAGGTTTTAATTTCCAAAAGATGTCCCATCTTTACTAATTATCTTCTTATAAATTCATCATTTCTGACTTAAATACTTACACACTTAATTCATTCAACATTCATAACTGTTTATCTCATTCATCAATACCTAGAATTATCATGATTTCTATTTTTATTCTGTAACTATAAATTGAATACCTGTTCTGCCAGGCATTGTGTTTGATTGCAGATGATAGAAAGCTGAAAGACAAAAATGGAAAAACAAATATCCAATGTACTCAATACTAATATGAAGCTAGGAGATGATCTGATTCACACCCAGATAGGTGAAAAACTCATTTCAATTCAAGTTGGGAGGAGGAGGAATGAGGGAGGGGGGTTTGGGGTGCTCCCACTGAATGGGCACAAGAGGGATTCTAGCATGTTCAAATATTATGATTTGGTTGTTTGTACCCTCACATTAACCTAAAATTAAAAAAAAAAAGAAAGAAAGAAAGAGAGAAAGCTGAAAGAGCTCCTTAAGCAGTTCTCATTTTAGTCGAGAATTGGTTTTAAAATACAGCGTTACTCTTAAAATGTGGAGGGTATATTGAAGTTTCCACATTTAGCACACTACCTGTGTATTGGCAATACTGTAAGTTCTCTTTTGTTCTAAGATCAAAGAAAATCTGAGAGTCATTATAGAAAAGTGAAAAACATACACATGCAAAGGCAGAAGAGCTCAGAAAGGATGTGGCCTATCAGTGCGACCTATCACAGACCTTGAAAGCCAGGGTCGCAATGCCTATCCATTCTTCCTTAGTGTTTTTTTAAATATGCTTGCATTTTTATAATTTAACCTTTAAAATTATATCCAAAAAGACAACTAATACTCTCGCTCACCTACACTTCATTGACTTGTTTTCTTTTTTATCCTTCTGTTCCTTATTGTAGATAAATAGATGTCTAGCCTGCAGTCAGGTATGCAGGGAGTCTGCATCAGAGGAGAATATCATAGTAAAATGGACCAAATGGAAATCAGGCAGTACAGTTTGAACTTTTTAATTCCTACGTCTGTGTATGTCACAAATTATGTAGTATCACAGAGCTGTTCCTTTTCTCGTGTCTTCAGTTCTGTGTAAAGTTCTTGACTAAGATTTATAACGGGTCTTAGCCAAATTTCCTTCTCTCCACTCGCTTCATCTTTTTTTTTTTTTTGGGCCAGGGCTGGGTTTGAACTCACCACCTCCGGCATATGGGGCTGGCGCCCTACCCCTTGAGCCACAGGCGCTGCCCCGCTTCATCTTTTTATATTTGCTTGCCCAACATCCATCTCTCTTACCTCTGATGTTCTCACATTCACTCAATCAATGTGGCCTAAAAGAAAATGCTCTTCAGTAAGAAATGAAAGTGTTTTACATAAATTAATTGAATGAGATCCGTTATGTCCTTACCTCCCAGGCTTGACATGATCTACTGCCTTTTGATAGTAAATGTTTCAATTTTTATCTCCATTTTACCATAACATCATCTTTCTCTTAATACTTTCAGTTAAAATCATCTGTCCTCTGGGGGAAATTTTATAGAAAAATAAGGAATGAGCCATTCTAGGTTTCTAATGTACTTTATTACATACAATGTTGTTTTAGAACATTATTAAGGTAAAAATTATATGAAGGCCTCCTTGGTTTTCCTAAGCGAATAACAACAGTATAAAAATAGGCTCTGAGACCCACAGCTTTCAGTAGTTTGGGGCTTCCTTGTTCCTAGTTAGGAGCACATTCTCTAGAATATCAGTTTGTTTTTTTCTAACTAAAATTTGTTAGACATTTACCTAAGCACTTCATTTTCCTATGTGCACTATCGTAAATGGTATTTTTGCCTTGTTTTGTTTTAAATTCCAATCGTGTGCTGATATATTTGTATATTTACCTTGTATCCTGCAGCTTTGTGTACTTACTCATTAGTCCCGGGAGTATTTTGGTAGATTCTTCAGGGTTTTCTATACAGTCACGTGATCTGGGAATAAAGGCAGTTTTATTTATTTTTTCAAAATATACACCTTTTTTATTTCCCCCCCCAAGTGATTTTATTGTTTTTGAAAATAGATAAAATGAAATTTCTTTGTAAGCCTTATTTTCACTCCTACATTTTGTCCTCAATCAGATTCTTTTTTTTTTTTTTTTTTGAGACAGAGCCTCAAGCTG